AATCTTAGTGCAATTCACAGAGAATGTTACAGAGACCTTGGCGTTTATTACGCAAACCATCTTAAAAAAAAACAGTTAACTAGCAATTAAGGCTCATTATAAAATTATTCCGGAAGCACAGTATTAAAAAAAACTAATTATTTTTCTTTAATAATGAAGCTTTCAGGGAAAACAATCAATGTTGAAATGCTTTATCGCGAATACTATTGAAATCATGTATGCCGGGTTTTACATTCCCAAAAGCTTTTCCTCGAGTCTATTCGTAAATGACACAATTAAAAGCGATACTTTCATGTGAAGTAAATATTTCTCAAAGAATGCTGTGAAAAAATTCTACAAATCTTGAGATCAATTTAAGAAAAAAATGCCCAGGATGTTTGTCCATTTGAAAATAAGTATTCTGGTTCACGAAGTAAGAAGATTTGACCAAACCACGCAGATGCGGAGAAGATAGAAAATACGGTAGAGTTGGCATCCCTCGGCGGCGGAGGCCCTAGTGGCGGCGGCGGCGGCGGCGGCGGCGGCGGCTGTGGGGCCGTTCTGGGTGGCCCCATCACGTGCCAACTTTACGGCGTTATCGACCCGCACGCTGAATTTCACGGCGCGACGGAGGCGATTGCGGCCGCAAGCATCAGGCTGGCGAAGCCGCTTCGGGCGGGGCCGTCTCCGCCCATGGATGCACGTCCATTGCCCACCCCTTGGCCGCGCCCGCCGCCCACCCTTCGGTCCTGCCCGTTTATCACCCTTCGGTACCCGTTCGCCACGCCTCACCACGTCTTACCCACGCCCTCGCCCTCTGCCCTCGCTCGTCGCCCCACGCCCTCACCACGCCCTCACCGCAGCGCCTCCCCACGCCTCCACCCAACGCCCACCACGCCTCACTCCCTGCCCTCACTCTACGCCCTCACTCACAGCCTCACCCACGCCCTCACCCACGCCCTCACCCACGCCCTCACTCACAAGCATCACACTCTCCCTAATCGACCCCCTCGTCATTGTCCACTTTTGATCCCACCTTTACTCTCGCTCTGTGAAAGTGTACGCACCCTCGTCTCTAACATCGCCCTTGCGGAAGGCATGTTTTACACTTGAGTTGCCACATCCGCAGATTGTCGTGTGGATCGAGCAGTGTTGGGTGTTTGCAGCCGATATGAAGGTGATGATCGCTTTGCGATGTAAAGATATATTTCTAATTTATTTATGCGTTACATAAGTCCCATCACAAACTCAATGACAAAAATATTGTAAAATCGAAAAGCTTGAGTATGTTGTTGTCACGCACTGATATTCTTTAGTTTTATAAATTAATGATTCAGGGATTGAAGAAATTGGAATTGTAACACTTCTAAATTTGTGGAGTACTCGAAGCGTTTACGTTGGAACTTGATTTTTTTTATTCATGAAGATTTTGTTGTATTTTTATACTCCTACTTTCATTTAGTTATTTGAAAATTTGTCTTGAGTAAGTTTCTGAGGTTTCATTTTGACGAGATTCTAAATATGTTTTAATGTCATTTCATCAATCCCAATAATGTATTTTAAGAACTTCATTACCGAATTAAGAATAGTTCGTACAATTCGATTGATTCACCTTCGGTAATGTTGCACCTGCTGAATGAGCATATTATTAATTGTGAATGACGAATGACTACAAGAATTTTCAAATTCAAATAAAGTTCCTTTGTTTTGAGAAAAGTTATTGGCAAAAATATAATATTCGAATAAGAAAATAATTATCTCTCCAGTAGTAAAAGTACCACAGTATCTGGCTGTAAGGTATTTTGTCACGCTCACATTTTTTTAAAACGAAAATGTAATCGCATTTTTGGCTTAACCAGTATGTTCTTTTTAGGAATCATCACTGTGATGCACTCAGCTTGGGTTCACAGACGTGACTGTACCTCTAGCCGCTGCTCGTGATGTCCCAAGGCACCTGCATTTACGACCGCATTTCGCCTAGAGGAATCGTTTACTTCGGTGACATCTCCGAAAGATTCGTTCAATTTCACTTACATCACGCGCGACATGGTATCTCCAAATTCACATCGCGTGATTTCTCAGATACTTATATTGAATAAACTTTTTTGCTTTTCAATCGTAAGCAATATAAATGATTGGCTCGTACCCAAAATTGACGTGTGGCGGCTGGATTGTGATTGAATTATTGAACCCGCACGAAAGTACTATTTATTGCTGAAGATAAAAAAATATATATCTTTACTTGTAATTATTTAACAAAATATTCTACGGGTAAACAGATTCTTATAAATTAATGTTAAAAGGAAAATATGTAGATGTGTTCCTTCTCTATCGTAGGTATAACATACTTTTATATTCGGGTGCATCTGGTGGGGCGATCGTGTGTATTTAAAAATTGAATCTTACGCACATTATTTTGTTTATTTATTCTTGCTTATCCTGTGGCCCTCAGCAACCCTGTATGGCTGATCCATTAGTTGATTTACGAGTACATTACATTACGAAAAGACTAATTATAGTATACTTAATACAGGGTCCATAACTTCCTTGGGCTGTGTAATTTCCAAGCGTTTCCTCTGATCGTTCTATTTGTCGAGTTTTAAGTGTGTACCTGATGCTATTCGAGAATTTTTGGCTATAGAATATTGCGGATAGAATAGAGGCTACCTTCAGATAGCTGCGAAGAACCTGAGGTCCTAAGAAAACTGCCGTTTCTCAACTTGACAAAGATCACTGGGTGTGCAAATCTTCTACATGCATCTAGGTACACTGACGCACCAAGAAATATTACCAACATTTGTTGAAGTTTCTTCGAATGACTGATATTGCTTAAAATATATTCAGCTTCCTTGTGTGTTTATTGCCAAATTCTTTCAGGCAGTCTCGCAAAATCGCATCTTTCGCAAGCACGCGTCATGAATCATTCAGTGCTTCTAATGGAAGGGCAAGGATTTCCCTATTGTCTCTCTCCCACCGGGCTTCCTTCTTCCGAGAGGGCTTCGATCGTGACCTTGAAGTGTCGTTTGGCGGGCGGTGCCCCCTTGCAGCGCCGCGCCTCCATCTTCATCTGTTCTCGGCTCGTTCGCTTTCCAGCCGCCAGGAGCGCTGGTGCCGTTGCGAAGAGTCGGCTCCTTAATTGGGTCAATCATAAGAGCATTATCCAATTGAGCTCCAGGCCAAGATCGCGCGAAGAGGGGGCAAGCCAGACACCGGCCAGGGATTCAGACGAGAGTTACGTCACGTTGGGTTTAGCCACTTTCTCGTCGGTGTTTTTGCGCGAGGGGTTTCGTTTCTTTTCTTTAAGGGAAGTTAAAATTACATTGTCATAGCCTTGATCCGTATATTGTTGAAACAAAAAAAAAACATTGAGCTTACAGTAACATTTTCCATTCCTTAGTCGTTTGAAAGAAAACTAAATAAACATGTCGCTTTTGTAATTCTTAATCTACACTTGAGTGTATTAAACAAAGTAGGTTATCCCTCTACACTAACATGTCGAACTTAAATTGTTGTAATAATGCTGAGTTTCTAATTATTTTAATTCATTATTTAGTAATTGCGAACGACAACATTCAGGGTTGAGCGGACAGCCTTCAAACATCCAGTTCAATTTATGGACTTCACTTATTTTGCTGCTCTTCACGTCAACATGGAAATGAAAATGAATGTTGTCGCCTTTTTGTTTTGTTTTTCTGAACGATGTAAATTTTAATTATACGATGGTAATTATCACTCATCAAAATTTTCCCTTTTTGGGTGAATCATTACTTAACAAATATCAACTTTGAATATATTTTTGGCACTCTTATTGATGTGTGTGAACTTGCGAAGTGAAATCGGCGTGGTCGACGGCGGAAAATTGTGACAGGAAATTAAACGTGCTTCAATTGGCGGAGAGTTAGAAGTGATTAATTCTCCTAAATGTCAAATGATAAATCGATTGGAGTCTCAAATGAGATCAGATAATTTGAGAGTAGCTTTAATGTAGATCCAATATTTTTCAATCACTCCTATGTGCACTTTTCTGTATTGAAGATAAAAGAATATTAATGATTATGGAGAATGATTTTGAAACAAGCTCTCAAAGTCTGTTCTCAGTTTAAATGGACATACTACTGATTCATTATTATGTTCATTTCTTCAACTGATGGTACCGTCTATCAGTTCAACCGTTCAACTGTTCTGATCAACTGCCTGAAACATTTTTGTCTCATTTGTTTTGTTTTTATTCATTATTTCTTACAAAAGCATAATGATAGTTTCCACATTCAATACTATTTTGTAAGTTATTGAGATGATAATTATATATTTGGGTTCGAGCCTAATTGTGGGTATGAATAACTTTCACTTTGGTGATGAATTGCGATAATAGTTATTTTTTTCTAATTTCTCTACGTTCTACGTAGAAAAGAGAAAGCATTGTAAAGTTTCAGCAGAAATCGGCGATATTTCTTCAGGAATAACTCGTATTGTGGGCCCTTGCGAAATCTTGTTAAATCTTGTTTCTACATGTAGTAATATACGCCCTCCAACAAGTTGTGTAGTCAGAATATACTTTTGTGAGTGCTTAATGCCGAATACGTGGTGCTACAAGAGCACATATGCTCTCACATTATTTCTTTTGTAATTTCAAAAACTTAGAATGATCAACACAAATTGGAAGTGCGCTGTGTTTTAAGCGTCCATTACTCTGTGCGAGAAAAATTTTAAATAAAAAAAAGATGTATTTGTGAGAAAAAACACTTCAAATGCGATAATAATGAAGTATAGTTAATGCTGAATATCATAGTATATTATTCCAATTCGATTACGAAAAGAAGGAAACATCCTTGGAGAATCATCTCACGACCAAAGTAACCTTCCCCGAGAGATTTTCTTTTCTTTCTCAAAGAAAAGGTCAGAATCGAGCGCATTATATTAATTGCCCTCAATATAACTGGAAAGGTATGATTTTTCTTTCTGTATGTATCTTTGCTTCTGGAGCAAATTAAGTTTAATATTCGATTTTCCTTGTGTTGCAGGTAAGAGGCATCTTTAGTACATACTTATCCCTTGCCGGCAACATTTGGGATTGGGTAAGATATTAACATTACCAATTATGGAAAGTCGGATATGCGAAATATTGATATTAAAAATATGTAATTTACGTTTAATTTCGCATGTAGTCGTGTATGTAGTCTCTTACTATGCGTAGGAAATCGAGGTATTAACTAATATTTCTTCAAAATGTCCCTCATCTTGGTGCTACTCTAAGTCCATGAAGAAGACATACTCATAGTAACGAAATAGTAATGTCACCTTCGCCAATATTTGGTGTCACTTGCATTGTTACTGTCCCAAGCCAGTCGCGTAGATTTTTCCGCACCTATTAGCTATGAGATTGAGAATGGTGAATTTTAAGACCATTCCTAAAATTATTTTTTACCTGCTTTGCATTTTAGGTGCATAAGCACTCAAAAAATCCACATCATGTATTGTCGCCTCAATTTCATGTCTCAAATATTTCGTGAATGAAATAATGTGTGGCAATGTCATAATTGTTTGACTTTTTGCGTAAAGATTTGTTACATTTTAAACGTCCGATGTATTACTCCTACATTTATGTTGAGTGATGTATTCTATGTTACATATTTAAAAAAAGGAAACATTATTTTACGTAAGTTTACGACAAGTTAAATTGAAGCGAATGGAAAAAATGTTGTGGCTTTCAAACGCCCTCACTAACAGCCACCCCCTATTTCTTGTCGACAACCGCGTACCCTCTCACATAGGCCTACGTCTATTTATAAGTGCGCCCTCCGCCTGCAGTAAATTAAGGTAATTCCGTCGCCCTGCGCCGCCGCCGCCGCCGCCGTCACGTTTCGCTTCGGAAGCCGGCGCTCCCCTGGCGATAAAGACGGATGTGTTTGTGCAGCTAAAAATAATTTTGCGCGCACTTCGCCCGCGTCAGTCGCGATCCGCTGCGCCTCGCAGCACCAACTCCTCTCCATCCTCCCCATCCTCCACCTCCTCCCATCCCCCCAT